TTTCTAACTTTGTGGTTGATGTCTGTTTCTCTACCTACAGCTAACTTTTCCCTCTTTGTTTTTCAACTTGATAGCTTCTGGAACTTGTGTCAGTGCATAGAGCAGTGATGCAGACAGCTGTATCTTCACAAATAGTCAGACTCATTGCCACATTAGTTTGTAGTGCAAATCTTGAATGAGAACTGCACCTGCTCTCAATGTGGATGAAAATGGCAAATGTTATGGAAAGCATAATTTTGGGATTACTTTAAAACTGATGACAGCTGATCTCAGAATTCTACTGGGGATTCTTCATCTTAGAAGTCATGGAAGTCCTACTATTCAGAGCAAAACAGCCTGCTGGTCTCTTTTGCTAGGTCTTAGGTGTGTTATTTTTAAGAAATAATAGGCTAAAAAAAAAAGAAAAAAGAAAGGAAGAAAGAGAAAGAAAGGGCTCTTTGTTCTGCAATCCTCCTCCTGAGGTGTTACATTAGAAGTTGTCTTCCAGATATACTGGTGTTTTCCTTAAAATTATGTTGGACTAAAAATTTGTGAACCTCTAATTTATCATATGTGAACATTGTATTTCAGATTAGGTAAACTTGAAGTAGCTAAGAATATGTGTAAGGGTAACTCTGCCATGATAAATTATTTTCTTATGGAAGAAATGGTCTCAATTTAACAGTTAACACATTCCCTGAGAGTTGATAGAATATGAAAAACTTTTTTTTGCCATATGTAGAGAGCATTTTTTACTGTAATTTGTTTGGATTTTGGGGGTATCATTTTTTGAATTTGCTGGGTTTATTTTTATTTTTTTTATTTTTAAAGATTTTATTTATTTGACAGAGACACAGCGAGAGAGGGAACACAAGCAGGGGGAGTGGGAGAGGGAGAAGCAGGCTTCCCATGGAGCAGGGAGCCCGATGCAGGGCTTGATCCGGCATCAGGACCTGAGCCGAAGGCAGTCGCTTAACGACTGAGCCACCCAGGTGCCCTGAATTTGCTGGTTTTAAAATATCACTCTTAACCTTAAGCACAGGGATTACATTGAACCAATAGCAATTCAAAACATTCACTTAAAATTTTTACCAGGAAACGTGTATTCAATCTGTATCTTTCAACTGTAAGTAATTTTTCTGTTACTTTTAGTATTTTAGTTTAAGTCATTTTGGTTTATAATTAAAAAAATAGCTTCATTGATACATAATTCACATACTATACAGTTCATCCATTTAAAGTGTATAAATCACTGGTTTTTAGTATATTCATAGATCTGTGTAGCCATCACCACAGTCATTTTAGAGCATTTTCTTTACCTCAAAAAGAAATCCTAAACGTCTAGCTTCTGTCCTCCTATTCCCTCCCTGACCCCCTTCCCAGGCCTAAACAACCACAAATCTACTTTCTGTCTCTAGAATTTCTCCATTCCTGGACATTTCTTACAAATGGAATCTTATAATATGTGGTCTTTTGTGACTGGCTTCTTTCACTGAGCAAAATGTGTTTAAGGTTTATCCATGTTGTACACTACTACGTTCCTTTTTATGGCTTAGTAATATCTATTGTATGGATATATACCACATTTTGTTTATCATGCTTTAGTTGATGGACATTTGGATTGTTTTTACATTTTGGCTATGTAAATATCCATATTTGTATACAAGTTTTTGTTTGGACACATGGTTGTAAATTCTTTGGGGTATATACCTAAGAATGGAATTGCTGGGTCACATTGTAATTCTGTGTTTAACTCACTGAGGAACCAGAAAACTGTTTTCCACAGTGGCTGCACAATTTTGTATTCCCACAACAATGTATTAGAGTTCCAGGTTTCTCCACATCCTTGTCAAGACTTGTTATTTTCCAGTTTTTTTTACCTGGCCTTTCTAGAGGTTCTTGTGGTTTTGATTTGTGTTTCCCTGATAACTAATGATGTTGAGTATCTTTTAACCTGTTTATTGGCCATTTACATATTTTCCTAGGGTAAATCCAGATCTTCTGCTCAGTTTTTAATTGGTGTGTTTTTATTAGTGGTTAAGAGTTCTTTATATGTTCTGGTTGTAGACATTGACAGTACCAGTCTCTTACCAGATACATGATTTGCAAATATTTTCTCCCATTCTGCATTTCCCCCCTATTTTCTTGATGTTATCCCTTGAAGCAGTTTTTTTGTTTTGCTAAAATCCAAATTATCTATGTTTTCTTTTGTTGCTCATGCTTTTGGTGTCATATTTAAGAATCCTTTGCCAAGTCTGAGGACATGAAGATCTCTGTTTTCTTCTAAGAATTTTGTAATGTTTAGCTCTTACATTTAGATCACTGATCCATTTTGAGTTAACTTTTGTGTATGGTATCGGGTCTAACTTCATGCTATTGCATATGACTAGCCAGTTCTCCCAGCATCATTTATTGAAAAGACTGGTCGTTCCTCACTGAATGGTTTTGTCATGCTTTTTGAAAACTTGTTTATTAGCTTGAATAGTATTTTAGTGGAGTCTTTAGTATTTTCTATATAGACCATCTCTGAACAGAAATAGTTTTACTTTTTCCTTTTTAATCTGAATGCCTTTTATTTCTTTTTCTTGCCTAGTTGCCCTGGTTTGAACCTCCAATGCAGTGTTCAGTAGAAGTTATAAGTACAGACCTTCTTGTCTCATTTCTGTTCTTAGTGGTAAGGGTCCACTATTTCACCATTAAGTATGATGTTAACTAAGGGTTTTTCATAAATGCCTTTTATCAAGTGGTGGAAGTACCTGTCTAGTCCTAGTTTGTTGAGTGGTTTTATCTGAAAGGCTGTTAGATTTTGTCAAATGTTTTTTCTGCATCTGTTGAGCTGATCATGTGGTTTTTGTTTTTTATTTTGTTGATATAATGTAATACATCAATTGATTTTCTTATGTTGAACCAGCCTTATATTCCTGACATAAATCTCACTTTGTCATGGTGTGTAATTCCTTTTATATATTGCTGGATATGGTTTACTAGTATTTTATTGAGGATTTTTGTGTCTCTATTCCTAAGAGATATTGGTCTGTTTTCTTATGATGTATTTGTCTGGCTTCGGGGTCAAAGTAAGACCTTGTAAATGTTCTCTCTTCTGTTTTCTGGAAGAGTTTGTGGAGAATTGGCGTTAAATCTTTTGAATGAACTCACCAGTGTAGTCATCTGAGCCTGCACTTTTCTTTGTGGGTAGTTTTGATTACTAATTCAATATATCACTTGTTATAGGTCTATTCAGACTGTCTGCTATTTGCAAGTTTGTGTCTTTCTAGGAATTTATTTCATCTAATCTACCACTGCCTGGGTTTATTATTCTTATTTGCTTGTTTATTTGCTTAGCGATTAGCTGGATTATTTTAGTGCAGACAATTCCTCTCACCCATACCCCACAGTGTTTAGCTTCTGGTATTATTTCTCAAGGAGGCATACTTTTGGGTATATCCACAGTCACCCTGGGATGAAAGTAGTTTTGGCAGGACCCTCTGCTTTTCTTTCCCTGACCACACCCAGGTATTAAATTTACCTATTACCAGATAATTGCTCTGTTGTTTGTAGAAATGTCCTGGAGCATAAATTGGTCCATAAATGAATCCAATAAATTTGGGGCCCCTTTGAAGGAATAATGCCAGAGGTCAGTGTTGGTATTTATTCCCACCCAAGAGGATTCCTCCTCTTTGTTGCTCCTTAGTTCTCTTTTGTACCCCAGTAGTTGAATTTGTGAATCTGTAGTTATGGTTAGCCACAATCTGTGCTGTTTTTGCGATGGCCCTAAAGCTTCAACTTCCTTGCCAAACTGCAGATGAGGACATACCTTTGGAAGAAATTGGGACCTTTTTATTTTATAGCCTAAAATCTTTGATGTAAACTCTGGAGCTAGGAGTGGGGAAAATGGAAAACTTATCTCTGAGTGACACCCTGCTTTAGGAGCTGAGTACTTGATGGAAAGGGGGTAGACAGTAGCCTAAATTCTTGGCTTGCCTCTCCTGGTGTGGAATTAGTGCCTTATGAGCCACGGTGAGAGTGATTGGGTTCTGTGATGTTTAGCCCAAAAGTCAAGGTGTTCCAGGACTAGGGGCTGTGGCCTTGTATGTAGATAATGTCCACAAAATAAACAGCAAAAATAAAATATTTATTAAATATTAACATTTCATATATACTTATCATAAATTCCTACTTTAATTATGATTTTATTTGTGTGGAATCTCTGAGAACAGTTAGAATTTGGCTAATATAAAATCTTCACATGTAAAATTAGATATAACATTTCTGGAGAGGAAAAAAATATATCCTCGAACCACATCTGAAGAAATCTAAAGGCTTTCTGGAGCAGTTATTTCATACAGTGATATGATTGAAAGTCTTTCTAAATCACTAGTTCTCTGACTCTGGAATCAGCTTAATCTTTCACAATTACTCTGCGTAAAATACACAGGGACACTTTTATAAAAAGTTAAATAAAGCACGTGTGGAACTGTGTTTTATATTTCAGATTTATTAAGCATTAAAATAAAATAAGTTTAATAAAAATAATAAAATTAATTATTAAGCATTAGAAATTTGCATGTCATGAATCATAAAACATTTTAATGGTTCTTTATCTCTACAATGATAGCTGTTATGTGTAGTAAGTTGTAAGAAAAATGGTACTCTGGACTCTATTTGTGAAAACCAGAACAGTGTATTAAAAAGCAAATTAATTTTGGAATTTCCTTAGGTTATACCAAGAAAATCCAAGTATAAGAATTTGTTATTCTGTGATTTAGCTTTATATATAAATCATAATTATTTTGAAAAGTTGAATCATGTGCTTTTAATAATTGCAGATTGACTTTGTGAAGCTGAAAGATATGTAACAATATGAAGAGTTATTTTTCTTTCCTAAGTTACTATTTTTTTAAAAATACTTTTTGGGTACTTCTTTTTGTATTAGTTTAGCTTCATACCTCGGTTGAACAAGGTCTAATAAGTTGAAGATGGTGAATTTGAGGTAACAATTCTTTGATTCTTTTTCTTTTAAGCTATTTGAACTGCTGGGACCTGATGGACTTGAACTTATTGAGAAACTCCTTCAGAACAGAATTACAATTGTGGATAGATTTCTTAATTCTTCAAATGATCATAAGTTGCAGGCTCTTCAAGGTAAGAAAGTATTCAGTGGTAATTCTAATTTAATGGAAAGATTCATTGGTTAGCAAATCTTTTTAATATTATTATTTTAATATCCTTTGGCCTATTATATAATTTAGTGATACCACTTTTTAAATTAGGTTTTAGATATGGCAGATTATGAAACAAATATCAATGCCTTAAATAGGGTATTATGGTAGAGATTCTCTTTATGTTTAAGTATGGCATTTTTTTCTTGCTGGAGATTTGAATAGACAATTTTTTTTAAAGTAAATACATACAGTATTTACTATGAGCCAAGTAGTGTCATAATTTCTTCCCAACTTTTTTATTTTGAAAACTTTCAAACCTGTAGTAAGCGTATAAGGATAATACAGTGAATACTTGGATACCCTTCATGTGGATTTGCTAGTCATTAACATTTTGCTTTCTTTTTCTCTCTTATTCTTTCTCTCATTATTATTCTCTTTACATATGCACTCACACACATATACATAAACAAATACCAACTGTTAAAGTTTTTGCTGAATAGTTGCCTGATTGAGGCTTAGATGAATTAGAAAACTAATTTTCCCATCTTGATGCTTCACCTAATTCCTTCCTTGTTCTGTGTTGGATCTTGGAGTTTGATAAAATAACTTGCACTGTGCTCCTTCAGAGTATGGACCAAATCTCAGTCTTCATTGTCTTCCTAGTTTAGCAGCAGTGCCTGGAACTAGTAGGTCTTCAGTACCATAAATGTGTTTTGATTTGGGTTGCTTTCAGCAACACTCCAGTCAGTTCCTTTAGGGCTGCAGTGAGCCAAGATACTACTACTTGGAAAGATTTAATTAAACATAGAAGGTAATCCTGTTGGAAGAAAAATTTTCCTTAATACTGGGTTGACCAAACCACGTGTTTAAATTGGACCTTGTAAACATTGAGATTTCATCTTCCTTTTTTTTTTTTTTTTTTAACTCTATTTCCATGAAAAGGTGGATCATACTCTTTATTTGCCTTGGTCATCTTATAAATATATCCTGAGCTAATGTTAATAAGTTTTATTTTGTGTATAAGTAAGTAGTAACATATATTCAATTTAACACAATAAGATCTGATACATAGGGATAAGTTGGATCTAATATGTAAAAAATATTTTATTACTATGTTAACAGTAAGTGCTAATTAGTATTGATAATTATTATATTTGTTGAAATTATATAAACAAATAATTTCAAAATTATAAAACTGAACTTTTAAGTTCCTGATGTTATATCTAAGAATTTATAACACTAAACTATGTAATCTGTATAAAGAAAATACCTGATGACTTTTCTTAAGCCACTGTGTTAATTTCACTTAGATATTATATTTTTAAAAATCTCTCCTTAAAACATACAATTGAATGTGACAGTTTTTTAAAAACGAATGAATTAGAGCATTGTGCTATCTTGTATTTTGGCAAAGGGAAAAATGATTTTCATAAAGGTTAAATTTATAAAACATGTTTCTTAAATTTGCTTTGTAGACAATTGCAAAAAAATTTTAGGAGAAAATGCTAAACCTAATTATGGTTGTCAAGTTACTATTCAGTCTAAACAAGAAAAGCAATTAATGAAACAGTATCGCCGTGAAGAAAAAAGAATTGCTAGACGAGAAAGAAAGGCAGGAGAAGATGGAGAAGTTGCAGAAGGACTTATGAGCTTTGATCCTAAGGAATTGCGGATACAAAGGTAATAAAAACCAGAGACTGAAAAATGCTTCTGTTGTTATTGCTACCATTATGTATCATCATTTTTTAGTTAAACAGTTTAGATGATTCTTACTTCTAGTCATGTTGTCTTTTAAGAACAGAATTTTGTTTTATGAAAACCTAAGATTCTGGGATAAGAAAGCAGTGATCTTCTTAATTAGAATACTCTTGGTTGCATCTATGTAGGTGAGAGATTTGGATTACAGAGGTAAGCTATTTTTAGGTGATGTGCACACACCAGTAGTTTAAAATTTGTGAAGCCTACACAGATTTATCTTGAGACTTTTGTTTTTTTCCCTCGCTTAATAAGAATACTTTTCTTCATGTTATTTAAAATTAGGAAGGAGGAAAAAGAAATGAAGACATTATGATACTTGTTCTTTTAAATACTGAATCCTGTTCTTAAAAAAGGAATTTATACCTTGTTATATATCTTTGCATTGTGACAAACAAAATTATAAATAAGGAACATTAAAGTTATCAGATGATGTTATCTAAAAGTAGTACCTAAAAAATGTGTTAACTCCTATGTAGTTACACAGAAAATTTCAGGATTGCTAATATCTTTATTTGTGTAATTCAGTTTCTTCTACTTTATAATGGAAGACTAACTGAAATAGTTATAATAGTGATTGTTTTAATATATGCTTTCTTTTGCAAGATAAAAATTTAAGATTTATCCTGTTATTTTTGTATTTACAGAGAGCAGGCCCTTCTGAATGCTAGAAGTGTTCCAATTCTGAGCAGGCAAAGAGATATGGATGTTGAAAAAATACGTTATCCCCATGTTTATGATTCCCAAGCTGAAGCCATGAGAACATCAGCATTCATTGCTGGTGCAAAGGTATGTCACTGGTGTATGACCACTTTGGGATAATATGTCTATTCTGAGGAAATTACACATAGATTTTTCCTGTTTCTTTTGTGACTCTTGTACTAGTTGATACACTATACTAACTTTTATTTAAAAATACTGGGGAAAATGAGATAATGCAGTATATTTAAAGTTCTTGACACATAGCAGGTATTCAAAACATATTTGTTCTTTTCCCTTTTCTTATTTATGGAACTTGTATTTTTGAGTTTTAGCGGTTGCCTTACTTTTTGATCTTTACACTGTACATTGCACATTTTTCCTAGCCACCCAAGTACATTTGTCTTCAGGAGACCATCTAATAAATATATATTTAAAATTCATCAGCATAATAGGTGTTTTATATGAGAGATCTGATATATGAATAATTTGTGTGTACGTAATTTGTTTTTGTTTTATTTAGACTTGTTTTTCTTTAAATTAGCTGTATTTATTTACCAGTGCTACGTCTAAAGCCAGTAGTGTTCTTTCTCTGTCTCTCTAATTAAAGAATCTTTACCAGAACAACTGCTTTTTAATTAATTTTTATTTTTTATGTTGACAGATGATTTTACCAGAAGGAATCCAAAGAGAGAATAACAAGATGTATGAAGAAGTAAAGATTCCCTATAGTGAACCAATGCCAGTTGGCTTTGAGGAAAAACCAGTTTATATCCAAGACTTAGATGAGGTGAGGTGACCATTTTATTTATTTATTTATTTTAAAGATTTATTTATTTTTAGAGAGAGAGAGCAAGAGAGAGCATGCACACGAGGGGGTTGGGGGCAGAAGGAAAGAACTTCAAGCAGACACCCTGCTGAGCATGGAGCCTGAGGCGGGGCTCGATTTCGGGACCCTGAGATCATGAGCTAAGCTGAAATCAAGAGTCAGACGCTTAACCAATTGAGCCACCCAGGTGCCCCAAGATGATCATTTTATTGATATTTTTGGTGCTTGGTATGTTTTATGAATAGATTTATACTAGAAAAATTATATGTATATAATAAAGATTTTATTTATTTATTTGAGAGAGAGAGTGAGAGAGCATAGCAGGCAGAGAGGCAGGTAGAGGAAGAGGGAGAAGCTGGCTCCCCACTGAGCAGGGAGCCCCATGCGGGACTCAGGACCCTGGGATCATGACCTGAGCCGAAGGCAGACGTTTAACTGACTGAGCCACTCACTCAGGTGCCCTTAGAAAAATTATTTTTAGAGGTCAGTAGTTGGCTGATATAGTAGAGAGGATATATGCAGTTATTTACTAAAGAGGTACAGGAGTTTAACTTTTTTTTTTTAAGATTTTATTTGTTTAACTTTAGAGGAGGAGTAGAGTAGAGGAGTAGAGGAGTTTAACTTTTTTTTTTTTAAGATTTTATTTGTTTATTTGAGTGAGAGAGAGAAAAGCGGGAGTAGGGGAGGAGCAGAGGGAGAAGGGACAAGCAGACTCCATGCTAAGCATGGAGCTGGACTAGGGGCTTAATACCACAACCCTGCGATCATGACCTGAGCCAAAACCAAGAGTTGGACACTCAATGGACTAAGCCACTCAGGTGTCCCAGGGGAGTTAAGTTTTAAAAACTTATTCCTTCACACATTAAACATATCTTTGTATATATATTTATATAATTTCATGTTTGTTTTGGTTCCTTCACCTGATATTTGGTTTAACCTAATGGCTTAAAATGTTTTAAAGGATTCATGTATTGAGTTTTAGTAATAATGTAGTTTTAGGAAGGGATTATTTATAATTTTGACTAATGTTTAAATTGTGAGGATTTGAGAAAGTTTAATTTATAAAGCTGTGTAGAAATATAATCTTTTCCTTCAATAAACTTACCAAGTAGTGCCAATCCAGAATATACTGGGGATTCCGTATACTCAGTGTAGTTAAAACAGTACTGTGGTAAACTTCTACGGCCCCTTGAAAGAGTATACAGAAACATAAATTATATCAAATGTTGTACTCTAGTGGTTTTAGAGAACATCAGTATATTGAGGAGAGTGCTAGTCTGATTTGAGTATTTAAAGTTATTTGAATGACTTCTAGTAATAGGGCATTGTTAACTAAAAGGTAATGCAGACTAATGATTAACTTTGAAATCAGTTTTCCGTGGGATCTGATTTATTGGGTTGTCTGTAAATTGAAGGAAAAACTATTCAGATGATCTTTTAAAATGTATTTGGAAACATCTTAATTAGGGTACATATTTGTCAGAATTTAGTTTTGCATATAATTTGCTTAGTCAAATCCTTGAAACATAATTGAGGTCAAATTGAAGTTCTTGGTGATCTACATTGGAGGGAGAGTCAGAATTCATGGTTTTGGAGTGCATGGGGGTGGAGGGAGACGTAGGAAAAGAATTGGTATATTGAAGCAGACTTCTTAAGTCTATAATCAGAGCAAACATGGGGGATGTAGGAAGGCATATCATCTTATCCCTTTTTATAAGAGAGGACAGTTAACCATCCCCATAGTTTTTATCAACCCCTAAATACTCACTGCACCAGATGCATCCATATATACCTAAAATATGCCCTTTATCTGAGGAAATATGGCAAAGATGTAAGATACCTGTAGAATATTCATGTAGACAGTAAGAGTGATAATGTAGAGTATTTCATAAAGACAGTGTTGATAATGAGTAAGAACCTCTGATCAGTATTTCATCAGCCTTAGACTTAGACTTAACACAGTTTCAATCAAACATACATTGTTTAATGGTTGTCAAACAGTTTCAGTCAAATCAGTTGATTGTGGAGGCTTAAAGTATATAATCCAGCACGTTATTTTGGCACTTGTTGGCAAACTAGGTTGTTTATTTTCTGTGTACCACAGGATCTAGTCATCTGGATATTAAACTCACAGATAAGTCAAAGAAATACATAAGCATGTACTAAATTGAAAACAAAATTCTTAAAGTATACATATTACTTGAAATTAACCTTTTCTTCATGATCCCATGGTCCTGGGATGGGGTCCTGCATCAGGGCTCCCTGCTCAGCAGGGAGTCTGCGTCTCCTTCTCCCTCTGCCCCTCCCCTCTGCTCATTCTCCCTCTCTTTCTCTTTCTCTTTCTCTTTCTCTTTCTCTTTCTCTTTCTCTTTCTCTCTCTCAAATAAATAAATACATCTTTAAAAAAATAAAGTTAACCTTTTCTGTCACCAAAATGAAGTTCCTTTATATATAAATATATATATATGTATTTTTATATATATCATATGTAATCATTTAGAAATATCAAATAATGGAGGCAAGCAAAAAGACCAGCATAAAGCAGCATAAAGAATAACCACAGCCAACCAAAATGAACTTCATTCTACACATATGTGTGCATGTGTATTTTGTTTTATAAAATGGCATTATATCACACATTATTTTTTGTGTATTTGTATAAATATCTACATACATCTTTCCATATCAACAGTCATATCTGTAGCATCATCTCTAACCACCATATGGTATTCCATTTTATACCTTTATTACTTTTGAACCAATTTCTTATTTTTAAAGTTTTAAGTTATTTTCTATAGTAAGTTTATATATTGGACTAAAATTGTAATTTTATTTTTTTTTAATTTTTTTTTTAAAGATTTTATTTATTTATTTGAGAGAGAGAGAATGAGAGACAGAGAGCACGAGAGGGAAGAGGGCAGAGGGAGAAACAGACCCCTTGCTGAGCAGAGAGCCCGATGCGGGACTCGATCCCGGGACTCCAGGATCATGACCTGAGCCGAAGGCAGTCGCTTAACCGACTGAGCCACTCAGGCGCCCTAAAATTGTAATTTTATATTAGTGGGTTTCATTCTGTGCATCGGAATATCTGTAGATCTTTTTCAAAATCCAAGTGCCTTCTCCCCTATTAATCTCTTGAGATATGGGTCCAGATACTTATATTTTAAAACTGATTTTTGAAGCACTGTAAGTGATTCTCCCTCTCCCACTCCCCCTGCTTGTGTTCCCTCTCTCGCTCGCTCTCTCTGTTAAATAAATAAATCTTTTAAAAAAAAAAAAAGTACCTCACTCAGATGACCTCATTTAACCTTGTTACTTCCCTAAAGGCTCTATTTCCAAATACTGTCACATTGGGAGTTAAGGCTTTAATTTATGAATGTTGGGGGAACATAATTCAATCCATAATATAGATAAAGCTGCTCTAGACGTTGGTCTACAGGGTTTTGTGTGAACATAAGTTTTCATTTCTTTGGAGTAAATGCCTGAGTATGCAATTATTAGGTCATATTTTAGCTGCATGTTTAGTTTTTTTAAAAAGTACCACACTGTTTTCTGGAGTAACATTTTATATTCCCACCAGCAATCCAGTATGACAATTTCTCCTCATACTTGCCAGCATTTAGTGTTATCACTATTTTTTCTTTTTATTTTAGCCATTTTAATTTATATTTTTACATTTTATTTGTATTTATATTTTTATTTTAACCATTCTGACTGAGCACAGAGATTTCCCATTGTGGTTTTAATTTGCATTTCTATAAGCAGTAATAATATTGGAGAATAATACATTCAAATACAATATATCATTATAAGTACATAATTAAACCATTTGATGTCCTGTCACTTTAGATAATGATCCCACCAGATTTCATTAGCATGAATGGTAATTTAGACCTTAGGAAAAAATATAGGTGTTAACAGAATGTTTGTTTAGTGGATGCTTTTGTTCGCTTAGATCTTTTTTATACAAGGTAGGATCTTTATGTATCATGAAAAGTACTCCTGAAGATGGTATCTTTATCTTCTCACTGAGTTCATAATTGCATGCCATTCCTAACAGTCCTGTGGAACCATAGATAGAATCTTCTCACTGAATGTCACATCAGATAATTTTGTCCTGGTTGCAATGCAAAGTTTAAGGTTGACAATAGAGCTGCTAGAGTAGTTCAGGAGAGAAATGCTAAGCACCTAAATTAAGAAAGTGGCAGCCTATCTGAAAAATGGGATAATAGAGAATAATTTAGGTACTAGCGTATATAAGATCTAGTAACTGATTAAATGGTAGGGGGTGAAGCAGAGAGAAGACTTTAGAATGACATCTAAGTTTTCGTTTGAATCTAGAATGATCTAAGTTTTTGTTTGAATCTAGAATGATGTCCAGATCATCATGGGTGAGTGATAGTGTCATTTACCAAGGTGAGGAATAGAAGAAAAGGAAAGGTTTGTACATGTTAAATCTAGGAGGCAGAAAACCATGTTGATTCAGAACAGGGCCTCCGAATCCAGGCTGGCCTAGTTTGACTTGAATCCCCAACTTTCTAGCTATGAGACTTTGGGCAGGTTACTGTCCTCTGTGGGATCCAGTGTTTCATTTGTAAAATTGGAATAATAGTACCTTCCTCATAGTTTAATTGTGAAGATTAAATTTATTAATATATGTAAAAAATTTCAAGTACTGTTAGGTACTTAATACATTTTAGCTAAAATGTTAACTTAAAAATGAAAGACGTAATGATGAAAACACTGAGGTCAGAGTGTGGATAAAACAAAAAGACTTATTGTTACTTTGGAAATTATATTTAGTAAATAAATTACTTCTCTGTTCATCTATGCTATTTGGCTATTCTTTCATTCCAAACATATGTGGGAGTAGTATTGGATACTTTCCTACAAGATTAAGAAGAACTAAACTTACTGTCACTCTATTAAGACATCTAGAGTAGTTTCTAATTATTTGATAG